ATAATATAATCTATACAATATGTAATGGTTTAATTATTCACTGGTTCCAGAGGAGTTTGTTTTAGACATTTATTGTGATAAGACTTTCCTTTTTTATTAACACAAGCAACATTTATTCCACCTTTAATAGTTGCCATGCTACATATTTTAATGCGCTGCTTTAGTAACCCTGTTTTATATATGATCAGAGACATTTGGTCTTCTCTTTCATATGTTTTGCATGCTTCTCTTTACATTCGTACATTTCTTGTATATTTGTGATTCTTCTGTGGATATATGAGCATCCAGGTGGCCCTGTGGTTTTATAGACGGGGTTTTGGTTTTGTCCTTAAGCCCTAAAGAAGGCATGCTTTAAGAATTTATGGTGGTTTTAAGGTTACCTATTTCTTCTCTGTCCTCTCAGTGTTTCCTTTCGTGCCACAAGCGCTGTCTGGAGACTCTGACCATCCAGTGCGGTCACAAGAAGCTGCAGGGCCGACTGCAGCTGTTCGGCAGAGACTTCTCTCAGGTCGCCAGCTGCGCCAGCGACGGCATCCCCTTCATCATCACCAAGTGCATCTCAGAGATAGAGAGACGAGCGCTCAAGATGAAGGTGAGACAGCACGTTTGTATGTAACTGTAGAGGATTCGACTTAAGCACAGACGTATTTTGAGCTACCTGGTATGAACCGCTGCTTCCTCCTCGCAGGGCATCTACAGGGTGAACGGAGTGAAGACTCGCGTGGAGAAACTGTGTCAGGCCTTCGAGAACGGCAAAGAGCTGGTGGAGCTGTCTCAGTGTTCACCTCACGACATCAGCAACGTCCTCAAGCTTTACCTCAGACAGGTACACATGACACCAGCTGCATGGACACGTATTTTAACTGACTTTATAGATAGATAGATAAATGGAAACTAATACCAAATACCTGATCAGTTTGTTCTATTTCTTTAAGGTTTTAGTGGGACAATATCAAGAAGCCATTGCATCAACATCTGTATAATTATCTGTAGTTGGAGATTTAGGGTTGGCTTTCCTGGTTTCTTTTTGGTGATAAACTTTATATGCATTCTAATTGATTGCATGTAACCCCACATACATGGAATTCACAAACAGACTCAGAAAAAAAGGGTTGTACTTGGTGATCATCACTTAAATATGATAATGCAGTTTAATTTTATGTGTGTGTATTACCAGATAGGAAAGAAAGAAATAGGATAAAGAGATAAACTAATTAAAGTGATCATATTCCTCCTACTGAGACATTCACTGACAAGTCTGTAAATCACAAGCAAATATGAATAATTCTTAAAATGATATATATACACCATATAATAGGGACTGCAGATATAAATAAGACATTATGTGAAGAGCAGCGTTTTCATTTTCAACTGGATTTCATAGATTTGATTAATTTTAATGAAGTGAAGTTTTATAATATATTATTATAAAACACTTTATGTATTCATCCAATAGTCTCCAGAGTTCGTGTAATAATTAATATTCCACCTATAAATTTATTATTATTATTATAAATAATAATAACTAGATAAAGATTGTAGTTTGTCCAGCAAAATACATAGTTTTTATTACTTTACCTGAACAACAGTTCTTGCTGGAGTTTATTTTAATTAATCCCTGTTTTCTTTAGTTCCATATAATTAAAATGCTCTTCAACCATACATTGAAAGTTTAATATGTTTATGTTTAATTCAGCTTCTCTAACGGACCTTTTGCCTGTTTCCTGCCTCCCCAGCTGCCTGAGCCCATCATGCCTTTCCGTCTGTACAACAAGCTGATGGGTTTTGCCAAAGAGAGTCTGCACAGTGACGCAGACTCACCGGAGGCAGAGGAGGCCGAGACGAGCGTCACGAACCCAGCAGTGGTCAGGGGGCCGGAGCTGGTGGACCAGGGCCCCAACACCGACCCTGAAGTTCTGGTCCTGGTGGACAACCTGAAGGAGCTTCTGAAGGACCTGCCCAAGGCGAACATCGCTACGCTGCGCTACATCATTCGCCACCTTCGAAGGTCAGCAACGGCAAGAAAACAAAACTTGTACTGGGTGCAGCCACTCATCTTTAATCCTCCTTTCTCTTGTTCTGCTCATTTCAGGATCGCAGAGCTGGAGGAAGATAACAAGATGAGCCCCAGTAACTTGGGGATCGTGTTCGGTCCCTCCCTGATGCGTCCCCGTCCGACCGGGGCCACAATATCGCTGTCCTCCCTGGTTGATTACCCCCACCAGGCCCGCATCGTGGAGGCCCTCATAGTCTTCTATTCATCCATCTTCCAGTCCAAAAGTTCTCAGTCCAACAAAAGCCGCCCTGTTTCCAACCCCCCTCCGCAGGTAGAACTATGAGAGCGTATTGTGTGTTTTGTAGGAAGCGTTTTGTAATTCAAACTTTAGAGGTGTAGTGTACTGGACACAACAAAGACACTTTTTGGACCTTTGCATGAAATTCAAGTCTAATAAATGAAGAAGCAATGAAAGGAACTATTTGTTTCATGGCTCTGGAGATTCATGACAGTCAACAAATATTTGCTTTTTTTTCTAAATATATTCTGCAAACGTCATGGGGAAAATATATTTTAAGGAACTCTAAAAAAAATAACAGTTGTGAAAGATGTGCAAGGAAGCTACCAATAAATAAACAACAGCAAAAAATAGGTGTAACTCTTCCCAGACAGAGTCAAGAGGTTAAAAAAAAACCAGAAGCGCTTTAATGTCAGCAGTTATGACATTCAACAAGGTTTTACATTTGCATGTTTGATATGCTTTCGGTAACACAAAGCCAAACAAATAACATTCTGACGGCATGTCTTGTGTGCTGATGATCATCTCTCCACTTCCTCCTGGTTCAGGAAAGTGTTGGAGATGAGAAGGTGGGGAGTCCTGGTGATGGAGAAGAGGACGGCAGCAGAGAGGAGCAAAACAAGCCAGATTCTGAGAAAACTGAGGAAGGATGTGGTAAGTTTTAACAAAGGCCAAGCTGCTGTTAATAAAAGGGTCATTCTGCTTCAATTCACCGAAGCGCCATGCCTGACCATCATCAATTTGACAGATGTTTTTTTCTCTCTCTGGGATTATAGGTAACATTAGTTTCTGAGATAAAAATTCTTAAATAATGGTGGGGTCATGTCCATTTTTGCATCGTTTTCTTCACTCCAAGAGCCACGTTTGAAGTGCAATAGCTTGAAAAATATTGTAGCTAGAATCCTGAAATTTTGTACGGTTATAGATATGTACATGTGTTTTGTTTTGTTTTTTTATCAATCCTGCTTTCATAGAAAAATACAAACCAGTCATATGATAGTGCAAACTGGATCTTTTTTTTTCTTAAATCAATAATCCACCAACCAAAGCTTTTATTTTTCACCTTGAGAGGCTGAATGTTTTTCCTGTGATTAGCACCGATAAGAGCTTTAAATATACAGAGTATGGTGCCAGTCAGAGGCAGACTTTAAAACAAAAGTTATAAATTTTAAAAAAATGTTTTTTTTCCCTTTATGGCTAATATAAGGACAACAACTGGAAGAGTTCTTTAATGTTGTTACTTGGCTAAAGAAAAAAAAATGGTTTTCCAACTCATAGTCCTTCCAGTAGTTTTATGAAAAGTGGTGCTATACTATATACTTAATACAGCATGCGTATGCACAGAAGACACTGTCTGACAAACATGAGATGGTGACCTGAGGTGGAATGACCCAAAATAGCTTCCTCTATTCTTGTTGTTTCCATTCAGTTCCAGGTGTTTTCTGCGGGCAGAACATAGATCTGTCATGTTTTTATCTCTATTCAGGAAGTTCTTTGGGGTCACTGGGCTCCAGCGAGCAGCTTCCCGACTCGGACTCAGAGCTGGATGAGAGAAACTCCCGCAGCCTGACGAAGCAGGAGAGCGAGGTGAGCGTGGACGAAGACCAGCTGAGCTACAGGGACAGTCTGGACCTGTCCTCTCACTCTGCAGCCCACACCGACCCAGAACAAGATCAGGACCAGGAACACCCAGAGGGAGGAGAGCCCCCCGCTCTGCCCGACAGCGGACCCCCAGATGACGACACGGCAGCAGAGCAGGAGCTGAGCGCCTCTATGGCCGAGCTCAATGTGAACCAGTCCAATAACAACAACAACAACCCTCCTTATTCTCCTGTAGTGAGCATAGCAGGGCGTCCAGTGGCACGTCTGTGTGGAAAGAAGTTACCCCTGACGAGAAACCGGGACACTGAGCCTGAGTTTGTCTGATATTATTACCAAAATCTTTGTGTGTGAAGCCTGTCAGGTAACGTTGAGTAACAGGAATCCGACTTTTATACATTAAAATCAAGCAAAATGTCAACTTGAAAAGGATGTTTTGTACATCAAGATGAAATTCTACGTTTTTAATCTGTGTAGATGTTCGCGACTGTATTGATCTGTCCTGGCAGTAAAACGTCCGCATGCTTTTTTTTTTCCCTTTGATGCTATTATTCCTGTCATTTCAAAAGGTTTGAGCCAATTTATTAAAAATGTCTCCTTTTTTTTCATCATTTTGTACTTTAATGCATTTTTCTCCTTCTGGAAGTGTCTAACAAGTCACAATGTGTACGACACGCTAACTTGTTAAGAAGAGTCTTTTGTTTAAAGTGTTGCTGGTTTATATTTCAGCCGTAAAACTTAAAATAATTTAGCAGTTTCTTATAAATGTTGCCTGTATTTCTTTGTTATGGATGTTTGGTCAGTTTTAATAAAATTCATTTATTTTAAAATTGTAGTTTTGTACCTCCGACCTTGTTCTGACAGTTTGTGTATTTTACAGATGAAGTGAAAATGGAGAACAGGAAGCAAACACAGATCAGATAGATAACAGGGAGGTGGTACCATGTGAGGCAAATTAACAGAGCTGTTCAATAAGCGGCAGTTGACAGCAGCTACAACATGGCTTTCAGAAAGAAAAAGAAGGTAAGAATCTACCACCATTACAGCACAATGTACAGTATTGTTTTAAGTGTACATAGATTACGTGAAATAAGAATGAGAAAAGTGTTTCCATTTCAAATTATTTATTTTACAAAATCAGTAATTACAAGAAATATTTAAATCTAAACAAGTCAAAAGTAGAAGTATAAAATTACAGGACCTTGAGTTTCCTTCACTGGTCCGAAATGTTGGTCCAGAGGAGCAACTGGCAAAGAAAAACAATTTTTAAAAAAAATTACAAATGTCTACAAAACTGCAGTCAAATGATGCATTTATTTTGCTTGTTTAAGCCTGAGTTTGTTAGTACAGACAGTGTTTGACGTCTGTGTGACTTTTCTAAGAAGTTTGTTGCAACATTCTTACTAGTAAACAAATTGTGGTGAACATGACGAAGCTTTTCTGACCAAAAAGGTTGAGCACAAGTACAAAAATACTATAAATATCACTATAATTCTAATATATATATATATACATATACTTAAAACATATCATAATTATGCACATTAGTGTGTCTGTTTCAGCTTGATAGAAAATTGTAAATACGTACCCGTCTGTTACTGGACCAGTCTGTATGTGATGTACCTTCCAGCGGTTTCACTGGGTCTGATGATCTTCACTACCTGGAAATGCAAAAATATTGGTTGAGCACTGGTAGATAACCACACAGCTGACAGCGTTCTGTTTCACTGTCAGTTACAATTAGCAATTTACTGTTGACACTGTAAACATAATTTTCATGTTCCTGTGTTTGGATATGGGTTTATAAAAACAACACATGCATGCAACTTTCTTGTATTGTATATAAGTTTACTTTATTACAACATGGGTCTTGTTTTTTTAAGCCTTAGCCAACATCTGTATTCATAAAAACATTGCCAAGATTTGGGAACATCGGCTCTTCGCTGTAAATTCGAAAAAATCTGCATCATATTGTTTTAAAACATCATGTCTTACAACAAGGGAGACTGAAAAGCTTTTCATCGGTTTAGATTAATGTGTCATGCAGTGTGACAGCTACTCATCCAGCTGCGTTACCTGTCCTCTTTTCAATCCAAAGTAGCGAGCCACGGGGTCCCCAGCCTGGATCCTTGGCAGCTGACTTTCCTTTAGTTTACTGAGGTAAAAATGTTAAGGATAACAAGTGCATATTTTGCACCAAATAATGCAGAAACATGATGTCACCATTTATAAAGTAAACAGCGCAGCGTGTGTAAGGATACTATCTTGCTAGAAGTTCAGTCACTTCCTCTTTTGTCATGACAATGTGCTCGGGTACAAGCTGAAAGTCGAGTGAGAGATGCATTAGAAACAGAAATGTAGGAGCCATTGATGGTGAGTTTACTTTGATAAACGGATTTAATTCAGTGGACAGTAAGTTGTTTACCTCGTGCTCTGTGATGTTAATAAGAAGCTCCTGTTGTAGAAACTGTTCCAGTATGTACTTGGGTGCCATGTCGACGAGAGACTGTAAGAGATATTTATATTAATACATTTACTATGACGATGACATTCAATACAGAGTAAAAGTGAAATATAGACAAAACTGACACAGCATAATTACAGGAGCCACTAATTTTCCCTTTTCGCCTCGTCTAAACAAATTGTTGTTTACCTGTTTTGCTGAAGGTGTCATCCCCATCTGAACAACGATGATTGCTCGTGTGATGTTTTCCTCCTGCATCCTCTGACAGTACATCTTAATCGTTTTGATCCCCACCTTGGGCTCCTCTGATGGGGAGAAGACAAAGCTGATTTAATAACGTCTCTAAACTATGGCCGTCACACAAGCAGACCTAAAGTCAAGGTTATACTATCATCACTAATTAAATTATGTAGGTGTGTATTTCTGTAAAGAAAAGTTAGGTAAATACCAGGAAAGAAAACAAACATCTGGTCAGTGGGGTCATCATTGTGTGCCACCAGGACGGTGAGGTCTGTCCGTCTGGGACGCCCCTCGCTGGGCTTGTCTCCAAACTGACTCTTGAACTCATCCAGTGTCTGATCCAACTCGTCCTGTGTCACCAGATAGCCCCTATCATGGCAGAGCTGTGGGTGTAGGTGAGGGCACAAAGTTAGAGTGTACACGGTTAAAAAATAATGTGAACATGGCATGCAAGAGTGGATTAAGGCTCCCAGGCAGCCTTTTAATCTCAGACTGTAAACCTCCTTTAGCAGTGATGTAAAGCTACAGTTTGTGCTTTATGTATTAGTAGGAATTAATGCCTCTTTAGCTGCATGGGTCTAATCTGCAGCGACGGAATCCACCAACCTGTCTGGTCTTTAAGTTCTCTTGTGTCTGTTTGTATCTGCCGTCACTTTTTCCCTCCTCTTTATCCTCACCCCAACCAGTCCAGACAGACCACCACCCTTCTGGAGCCTGGTTCTGTTGGAGGTCTCTGGAGATTTCTTTATAACATTGCGGGGTCCTAACCTTATATTTAATTTGGTCGGGCAAATTGGCATTACATTCAATACTGTGGAGTCATAACATTTAAGTCAGGTTCATTTATGTACTATATAATATTACCTTAACAATTAGTTAACCAGATACATTTGTATTGCAAATATATATTGTTGTGGGTTATTAACTTTACTATTTAAATTAGGCAATATTGTTTGGTCTTGACATTTAAATCAAGGTTATTTATTTATATATACTATTGTAAGGTCTTTACCTTAACATTCAAATATGGTTCATTTTCAGATACATAAGTACATATTTTGCAGGATCTTACCTGTAACTCTGAAATCACTTGTCTAAAGGTACAAACTCAGTGTGGTCTTTACCTCAATATTAAACTTGTTTGATAAATTCGTGACGCCAAGCTCATTTCTATCATTTTCTACTAGAAAGTACTTTGGCTCAGCGTCTGATGTTTTAAAATTGCTAAATAAATAATGGCGACTTGACTGTATGATCATTATATTATAGTGATACAGCAGAGGCACAAAACTGTGTCACCGTACTTCATAACGTGTATTTGCTGCCTGACAGCGCCACTTCCTGAAAGGCTCATCTGGAGCTCAGACTGGCACTGTACAACCAGCTACTGCTGGCACTTGATTACGTTCAGTTGCTGCTAAACTACACTGGCATAAACCACAGCTGAAAATACATGGGTTGTTAATGTATTGTCTATCTACTACCCCCCACACACGAAAAAACACAAGTCAACTTAGTATCCAACCGCTGTTTGTGGTAAGCTAAAGGCTAAGCTAACATGCTAAAATAAACACTTACGCACCTGCATGATGGTTTTGCGGATCTTCCACAGCCTGTATGTTTCCTCTTCGTCATCCATACTGTCCCGAGTGGTTTATTTTCTCTAGAATTAATCTAAAACGTGAAGTTTTTTTTTAAATGAATGTATTACTTTCACTCCTATGTGGAAAAAAATACAACGCGACGCACGTTTTGGTGCACCGACTCAGGCTGATGACGTCGCACAGAATAGTAGGTGGGCGGAGCTTCACAAAATATACGTTTTATATTATATATTATTATTTTATTTTTATATTATTATTATATTGTATATATATATACTATATATTGCTGTCATTATTACTATTATAATCGTTATTATTATTATTATGCAAAAATTAAGGTGCAGATATACTGGTCCTGCTTTGTTCACCGTCCTGTTTCACAACACGCTGCAGGGCGGAGTCTACAGCTGCAATGAACGAAGAATTTGTGTAACATGAAGCTTCCTTTAAAACAAAAATGAGGCCATTGTATGTTATTTTGATATTTGGGGCCGTGGCGAGCAGCGGAGTGCTACTGGCGATGGTACTGTACTTTGTTTTATCCCCAACGGTAACGTAAACCTTTACTGATAGGCTGCGTGCTGTGTGTGTGTTTCCTGTGATTTTCTAAATTGCGTAACAGCGATGTCTCGAGCAGGCACCTGTACCTACATTTTTCTTTCATATTTAAAAAAAAAACATAACATTTTCATAAGATCTATTGTTATTTTGGAGTCAATCAGCTGTCTATGTTTGTCGCTTTGAATAACAAGTCCGACACAGTTTCCTAAAATGTTGGTGCACTTTTATGATCATAAGCACCATGCATAAGCTGTGCATTTAAGAGTTTTAATTTACACCTGCATATTACCAGAGTGTTGGATGGTGGAAAAATAAAAGGTTCAAAAAATGTGATTACGGTTTGTGACACCGGATGTTTTTGCAGCAGCACTCCTCCTGCTGCCAGCTGATAGGCTTATCATTGGGGAAGCAGGGGGACAGGCACAGGCACTTTTTAAAAGGTTTCAAAACGCCACTTCATGTCTGCAAGTTTTCTGTGGCAGCTCATTCCAAGGGTGAACGTTTGTTTCAGGTTTCCAACCTCCTGCAGCATCTAAACCTTCTAAACTATCAATGGTGGGGAAAGCATTGAGGTTTCTTTTACTTATTTACTGTGAATATTTTAGGAGCTTATCACAGTTTTTTTGTGTGTGTGTTTTTTTTTTTGGTGCTTAATTGTTCACTCAAGCAAGATCAGGCAATGAATTCCATGCAGATTTGCCACAAAACATGTGAAATAATCTCAATTAGATCAACGCGTTGCCTAACTGGTGATTTTGTTGTGCAATGCTTTGCTCAGCACTTCCACTCGACTTCATCACACATAATTGCCAGTTTTATAACGGCTCCAGACACTGACTCTGTTGTTTTCTTGGATTATGATTATTTGGTAGAATGAGCTAATGTTTTTTTTGGAGTTTTTGGCAGTGACTTTTATATCTGGCTGAGGTGTAACACTTTTTGTGTGTGCTGCTTTCTTATTCGGATATTAATCGCATTACGTAATGAGTTTATGTGTTTATTCAGACTGTTGCTCTTTGCCCCGGCCACATGGAACCCACCCTCCCGTGGCCCATTTTTCATGAGATAAAACCTTGAACTGTGGACTGCAGCACACATATATTTCTGATCTGGATTCATTTGTCAGGAGCAGAGAGGGACCTATTGGAGAATCACAGCCTATCAGTCCAGTTAATGATCACCTGCTCCCTCTACATGAGGAGACTGCAAGGCGTGAGCTCTCAGTAGGGAGACTGAGGTTCAGCAGTGAGGCTGCAGCTGAAGCCACTGAGGGGTTTAAAGATCTGATTGCGCTCTGCCTTCAGTGGAACTAACTGAAGTGCAGTCATGCGCCTGATAGGGTGCACAGTGATTTTCTCTGTCCTGCTGCAGGCTATGGTAAGAAACACTGAGATTAGGACTGAAACGCTGGTTCATGTTGCACGACTGGAACTTGCTTTTGGCGAATTTCAGCTTGTGTTCATGAGTTTATTTTTTATTTTCATGTAGCTTTTTGCTATGTTTGATGTATTTATATTGTAATATTTGTTTACTCCCAGGATCATCCTATCCCCTCAGTTTTTTACTTAATTCTCCAGAGGAAATATATATAATTAATGACTGTTGGTGTTTATCTCTTGCTAGCTCTACCGAGGACAGTATGTTTTGTTTGTCTGTCTGCCTGTCCGTTTACAGGATTACGCAAAAACTACTGCATCGATTTTCATGAAACTTGGTTACTAGGTGGAGCAAAGAATCCATCAGATGTTGGCTCTGTCTTTATAATAACAACAAATGTTAGATAGGGCATCTTTCTTGGGAAGGGATGAGCTCTCCAACTGTCCTTCTAGTTATCTAATATTAATAACTGAGAACAGAAGTATGAATGCTGGCATGTTTGTATTTACAGACAATGTATGATGTTGCATTTTGAAAATAAGCTTGTATCCCTTTTTTTTTAAAACCCATTTCTCTTACTTTACAGTCTTCCCCACCAGAGGAGTGGCAGACAGCAACATCGATTTACAACTTCTCAGCAACAGATATTGATGGCAACTTGGTTTCCCTTGAAAAATACAGGTACCCTTATCTGTGTCATGCTGTTTTTCTAATTTTGCTGCATCATCCCATTTAAAGCCTACAGCTGTTTAAAAAAAAAAAAAAAAAAAAACTGACTGAGGTCATCTCTCTTTGTGTTTTCAGGGGGAATGTTGTCATCATCACCAACGTTGCCTCTAAATGAGGTAAAACCCCAGTAAACTACTCTCAGTTTGCGGAGATGCACGCCAAGTACGCTGAGAGAGGTTTACGCATCCTTGCCTTCCCTTCCAACCAGTTTGGAAACCAGGTGAGTGACATATAAGTGTTTTATTCCCACCATGTAATTACATGCATAGTTGAAAGATATATATATATAATTTATTGATTTAGATAACCCTGTAAAGCTGCAAGCATTATTTTGAGGTGTTGTGTTGACATTGTAGTGTTAGTAATTGTGTCACCTCAATATTGTATGTAATTTAAACTGAAATTTCTGCATTAGTTAATTTAAAACTAAATTCAAGTTGAGGTAACTTAATAAAATTGGCTTGATAACTTAATTTGTCTTCACCTTGAAGTCAGGATTTCAAGTGCTCTCTTCTACCTGCTTAAAAAAAAAGCGCAAACTCATTTTTTAAATTTGTCAACTTAAAAACTTGTGTCAGTAATTATGGCAATTAAGTACATAAGACTTTTAAAAATCCTTTAAAATAATGCTAAATACTAGTTAGAACAACTTAATTTTTATGAGTAATCAACTTAAAAAACTTGCCTTATGCTGCCAATCATTAAGTAATTACTAATACCTTTTATTTAAGAGGGGAAGGTAATTTCTCTAACTCAATATAGTTTGTTTATTGAACATAATTTTGTTAGACGTTTTCATAACTCCAAAAAGTTGATGCAAACTGTTTTTTTGTTTGTTTGTTTTTTCAGGCCAAATATGATTTTTTTAGAGTGTAGATCTATGAATGTCATGTTACTATTGTTGTGAAATAATAAAATATTTTTAAAGAAATTAAATTGGAAATGCTGCATTAGAGGAAAAGCAATCGCATACTGTAGTAAAATAATACTTTATATTCATTTAACAGATCATTTAGTATTTTGCATTGACACTTGCTAAAGGGTGTAAAATGTTGTTTTTATCTACAAGTCACAGAGACTAGCTCAGGGCTTTAATAGCAGTCGTCATTTCTCTCGTTTTCCTTTCGTAGGAGCCAGGCAATGAAGGTCAGATCAAGCAGTTTGCTCAGTCCTACAACGCTCAGTTTGACATGTTCAGTAAGATCGACGTGAACGGAGCCAACGCTCATCCTCTGTGGAAGTGGCTGAAGGAGCAGCCCAACGGGAGAGGCTTCCTCGGAAAGTAAGTGGCGAAAAAATGAAACTGAAATCTGAGGCAAAGAGGTGGGACAACATTGATCTGATCTGATGTTATTATCTCGTGACACAAAAGCTTGTTTGAGCGATTTTAATGTGTATAGAGATAATGATGTGACACTCAGCTACAAAGGGGTTAATGTTTTTGATTGATTAGTATGAGATCCTTGTCATCAGTTACTTCTTAACGTTTTTTGTCAGATGATGATTTAATGAGATGATTTTCTAACATATGTTTTTTTCTTATCCTTGCAGTAGTATCAAGTGGAATTTCACCAAGGTAAATGTTTACTATAAATTCTTATTCAATATACTGAGATCAACAAAGTGGAAAATTATAATCAATGAGAGTGAGAGTGTGGATTTATTGGAAAATCCTGTAAAAGCAAAAAATAATAAAAAATAATAATTGCTTAACCTAAAAGTAAAAAATGTTATTGATTTTCAAGTTTCATTAATTTTCTCATTTTCTGTGTCTCCAGTTTCTGATCAATAAGGAGGGGCAGGTGGTGAAGAGATACGGACCCCTGGATGACCCAAGTGTATGTAAAAAAGTTCTTTCTTTGCCGCAGATGCCATAGAGCTGAATTATTAGAGACCTTTGGATATTTTACGTTCATCTTCTCCGATGTGGCTGCGTGATTATTGCTGACAACGTAAAGATCTCTGCTCTACATTTTAAAGCTGACAACATGCATTTACAGTTGTTGTCACTCTGGTCAAACTGTGCACAGTTCTCCCTTGTCAAAAGTCAAAACTGATGGTGTATTGCAGCTGTAAAGGGGTTTAAGCCCGCTAATAAACTGACATCATCCCCAGCTGATCATTTGTTTTGTCTCTAATGAACTTTGTCTCTTGTTTTCTTTCCAGGTGGTGGAGAAAGATCTTCCCAAATACCTTTAAACCCATAATGGATGACTCACAGCACACTTACTGATACACAGTTTGCCTTCCAGTCACCTTTCCCCTCCTTTCTCTGCCTCTCCAAGCACCAGTGGATACAGTTTGCTTCCACCCCAGACCAGTGACGGTCTGCTCACAAACCCGCACGGCGGACAGAGCAGACCTGATGAGAATGGCGTGCAAACCTACTGGGAGGATACAAAGCTGATTTTCACTTGGTTCTCTGGAGTGAATGAGAAAGGATCCCTAAACACATCATTACCACCTTTTAGCAGCTTAATATGTTCTGTATTCATAATAAAATCCATTAAGAATTTACCCAGATGATATTTTTGTCTGCGACATTTATCGCCTGTCACTGAAGCACTGTGTGGGTTGTGGGTCGGCGTTTTGTCCCGAGTTACTCGTGTGCACAATGATCTTTCGTTTTGTATAATTGAAGCGGTTAAAAGGGACGTCAACTGAAAAATGTATGCGTGTGTGAGTCAGAAAATCTTTAACAAGTGTGCACTAGAGCTTATAATGAAACAGTGGAAGGTGGAAACAGTTTTTTTCCATTGGATGCTGGATTCATAGTGCAGCAGCCCAGTACTGAGATGACAGGCACACTTATGATTTGTAGATGTTGTATTATCTGTGGAGAGAAATGACACTCATTGTAGTATTTTATGTTCCAACATGATAGAAATTGTACACACTCTGGTCTACCTTTTAGACTATCCCAAACAAATAATATTTATATATATAATGAATAAAAATTGGGCTGCAAGGTGCACTGGGGTTAGCATCGTTGCCTCGCAGCAAGAAGGTCGCCGGTTCACGTCCTGGTGAGGACACCCGGGATCTTTCTGTGTGGAGTTTGCATGTTCTCCCCCTGCAATGTGGGTTCTCCGGCTTCCTCCCACAAGGTCCAAAAACATGTTGAGGTTAATTGGTAATTCTAAATTGTCCGTAGGTGTGAATGTGAGTGTGCTTGGTTGTCTGTCTCTAAGTGTAGCCCTGTGATAGACTGGTGACCTGTCCAGGGTGTCTCCTTTTTTTTAATGTAGTAAAATGATTCAGACCATTAGGGGGGAAGCAAGGCACTCCATCTTTAAGTGAAATAATGTTAATTTATTTGTCAAGCATGTACAAAAACAAAGACACTGACTCTAGCTCTTCATGATCAGTTATAAATATACTAGTAAACCAGCTGGTGGCATTCAAGCAAAAAGTGTAGTCCAGTAGATCACCTATAGAGGGCACTAAAACAAAAGTATCAACCACATGCATGCCAAAATAAAATCTACAATTCATAAATAATGATAGTAATTTAAGTAAAAATGATGATTATTTTTTACAAAGTGAAAATGTTTCAAATCATAAAAATACTCAACAAATACTGAATAAATAATGTTCATAATCACAACAATTACAACAAAAATAATAATTAAAAAAACAAATTAGCTAATTAATCAAAAAAAAAAGAAAGAAAGAAAAACAAATTTTAAAAAAAATGTAGTAAGTAAAACAGCTCTAGAGTGTATAAAACCTGATTCCCATATTAACTATGAACTTTAACTGCAACTAAGTTATGTTCAGTGGAGAAGGAACATACACAAGAAAAACAGGCATTAAGGTTTGTGTACAAAAAGACTCACGAAGAAGCATTAAAATGCACAAAGCACTTTGACTGAGAAAATAATTTTTAAAAGGGAAATTTCCTCAGGCTTAATTGTAGGTAATCAAATCTCAGTTTGACAATTAGTTAGTCAGTCTCTATAATATGAGAAAGTGCAGTGCCTAGAATAAAAGTGTTATGACCTGGCTCAAAATGGTCACAACAAAAGGAGAGACACACCAAGTATCATGATTAAAGCTTGTTTTTATTCATTAAAATCACAACAAATTAAAGCCAAGCCTGTACGGGGTTGTAAGAATCAGTAGAGTCCCTGTTTTGTGTGTGATGCATGCATGAATTATGTGTGTGCAGGTGTTGTAAATGCAAACCAAATCGTAAAGGAAGAAAATAAACCATAACTAAACTGTGTGTTACCTGCGGAGGGAGTGATCAGACTGCAGCCAGCTCTAAAGTAACCCAGGAACACACTGGGCGTCACTGGTGTGCAGCAACCTGCAGAACCAGGAGGGACAAACTACCAGAGCCACCCTCAAGATGACTTCGGGGTCATCACAAAAACAATAACATAATACCAGCAATGATTATATAAAAAAGCAATATCAGGTAATATCACACATGATGATTAAATATGGCACATAAAACTGAAAAATACACATATTTATGTCTTTCTGAGCAAGATTTCTGCTCATGTCTAAAACTTCCGTCACATCCAGAACAAACACTGCTGCCCATAAAGTTGGAATTAATTTTTGTTTTCAGACACGTTCCTCTTTTTATTTCTATTTATACACCTCAGTAATCACTTTGCAATGATTACATACTGATTGCATACTGAGTCCCAGTTTGTCGCATTGACACTATCGACAACCTTGTAGACAGCATGCCACAATGTCTTAACGCAGTGATCCATGTCAGGGGTGGTCACTCCTCAGGCCATCAGACTCCTGAACAACTTCAAACACTGACTGGTTTCACTGCTGCTGAATGTATACGGCATTACACCAGTTAACATGTGTCGCCAGGCACTGTTCACTATAAATATATATTTGCTTCCACATCATACATCTGACTGATGGCGCTACATGTAAATCATTGAATATGCACCTTAGTTTCTGTCCCTTTTAATTTTATCTATTATATTATTATTGTTGTTTTGATTTTTAGATTGATATGTTTTATGTATATTTCAAGGCACAGGTTAGAATCCGGCCGGTTCCGGATCAGAATTCCTGGATAGGAATTTATTCAGATCAGAATTGTATTCTAGGCCGGCCTGGAATGGAATCTTCATTTTTTTCTACAGATTCTGATCTGGGCCCAGGTCAGAATCCTGATCCTGTCTGGCCCAGATGAGAATCTTGGAATTATTAGATTGAAATTCCAATCTTCCGATCCAGAATTGGGCCGGATTCTAATCTGGGCCTTGACATATACATGGGAGCGTGCAGACAAGATTCATTGCACAGTGTGTGTATATTGTGATATCAATAAAGTTTTGAGAAAATCGACACTTTATCTATTAGGAAAAAATGCATTGCCACAATCATTTCATAAGAAGAGGTAAAAAAAAAAGAAAAAAAAAAAGAACTATATATATATATCTATACATTCCAACTTTTCTCAGTGTGACTGTATCCAGGCTGACCTCCACAGAGCATCACCGGGCTCCAGGTCGCAGTTCCATTCGCCTCCTGCAGGGGGAGCCGCGGCGTCCGTCAGAACAAAACCGGGCAGCAGCGGCTCGGCGGCGGCAGCAAGTGCAGCGCAGTGGACCTGGGAGGAGCGGAGCGGAGCGGACTCTGTTCCACCGTCGTGAGGAAACACCGCACAGATGAAGGGACCGTCGCGGACACCTCGCACACATTCCTCCGTTTGATTGTCGCCGAATATCAAACAAACACGGTCCTCGCCTCCTTCCCCGCTTCGTCGCCGTGGGTCTCTCGTTCGGAGGGTTCGCCTGTTTTTTTTTTCCTCCGGGAGGCTGAATGGAAGCAGCAGCCGAGGGAGCGGTCGGGCTGTCGGAGGCCAGGGAAGGGAGCCCGCTATCCGGGGCCGCAGCATCCGATGATGCGGACACGGTCGTGGGAGTTAGCTACGGGATGGACGCCGCAGACATGGGTACTTTGCCGTTTATTCAATTAGCCCTTTTCGCGTTTATTGTTAATTTAATTGCCCCTACATCCTTCTCTGTTGTGCTGCTGCTGTCAGCAGAAAGTCCCGACTCATCTCTGCTAGCAAGGAATTGTTAAGCTAGGCTAGTAGCTAGCTGAGCTGAATGGATGAGGAGCAGGTGAAGTTAGGTGCTGTGTGTGGACTCTGTGCTGTGTATGTCCTGAGCAGTAGGAAACAACAAATTATGGATTTAAAAACAGACGTATTTAAGTGCATTAAGACACATAATATAGCTGTTAACATTTCTAATTAGCCGAGTAGGTGTGTAAAATAGGCAGAGGTGTAGCTAGGATATCTCATCACCTCTTCTCCAGGAGTAATATTTCTCCTTCTCTTGTTATTTATTTCCCCACTTTTTAAATAAGAAAATATACACACTTCCAATGAGTATTCTCCAGCTTTAGACAGCTATCATCACCACCTGTCAGTCACGGGTTGTAGTAAAACACTAAAATCCCAATTTGTTTTTCCCACATGCCACCATCTTGGCTTTTACTGGAGCCATAAAATCTACATTTTTAGCAAGAAGAATATGACAACGTGCCCAAAAACAGCATAATATTCTTCATTTTAAGAGATTTGACACCAAGGGACACATTAAAGGATGTTAAATAGCAGATATAGAACCACAAATGAGTTGTCATGGTGGTTAAAGCACTGCTGATTCTAACACCATTAACATGGCTCTGTTGTGTTCAAGTGTCCCTGTAAGTCACGACAATGAGCCAGCACCCTAAATCTGAAGCAAGCAGCTAAATGGAGCTCAGCCACCATTGATTTTATAATTTACACCTTCTCTGCTCATACTGGGACATGTCAAGATGTCCTTTGTGACCAAAGCCCATATTGGCTGTTGATGTGATGATTTATTAGTATTTGAAGGTGCTGTTTATCATTAGCCATGTTGCTATATGGGCAGATATTATTTTATCCCATATATCAAATTGATATAGATGTCTGCCAGTAACAAGATATTCCATTGTAGATAAGCCAAACGTGTTGCTGTCACACCTTCATATATTTTTTTTCCCTGAGAGAGCACTGACAGTTTTATTTTTCAGTAGCTCTGTTTATTACCCACAGTGTCCTTACTAAAATTCTGCAATGACCAAATTTAAATATCGATATTAAAATGCCTGCTAATACTATGTGTTTATGTGGGGGAAAAAAATGGTTTGTCAGATTGTTCAAACTGTCAAATATCCCTGTCAAACATTTGTACTGACTGTGAAATATACTGTGTTTGTAGTTCAAGAGACGGCTGGAGAGTTTTTCTGAGTCGCCTCGATGCAGTCGGGGTTCTTAATCCTGGCTGTAGATTTAAATCGTAGCTGAGGGGGCTGCTCGGTGCTACTATGGCCGTGTGTTGTGCTGGGATCCGTCTCATATGTGCTCTCTGGCTGCAGGGGAAATTATACCAGTAACCTCCTGCAGCTTATCACCACAACACCACCGTGGTTAAGTTCCCACGTTGGCCTCGGTTAAAATTAAACCCAATTCCGAACATTAAAATCGAGCAGTTGTATTATATATATGTATAGTGTTGAGCTGTTAGCTGCTGCTATATCATTGTGTTGTGGTTGTTTGTTGCTGGCTGCATTGTTGTGTGTGATGTTTCGAAATGCGTTGTAAATTATCTCTAGGGGAAAGAGCTGCATATGTATGTCTGGAGATGTCTATTTACTTTGTAATGAGTCTGCAGAACGAGTTTGTTGAGTGTCAGATCTCCTCGTCAAAAGTGAAGTAAAATAAACTATAAGGTCTCTGTACGCTGGCTTTATGAGTGAACCAGAGCCAGTGATGCCGTCTTAAACTACTCATAAGATTGCCTGCATGAGTTTATATCTACAAGAATTGTTGAAACTGGGTGTTTACAAGAGCTCATCACACCTAGCTAATGGATATTTGCATTTATAGTCTTGCTCATAATTACTTAAAAAAATAAAAAATAAATCTTAATTAGGAAAGAGAATGAATTTTCCTTTGCATGCATGTAAGACAACTGCTATATTAACAGCACTATCTAGAGACCCAAGTTGGCCAAGCTTACAGATTGAACATAGCAATAACACTGCATCATCAGCATAGAGTTGCTGCTGCCGCTGTGTAAATGACACAACATTATGTAATGTAGCCATGTAAAGCACACTAATGGGTGTGCATCTGTGTGTAAATAAAGCATATGTCCGCCTGTAGCAGTGTGCTCAGCTCTCGAGTCTAACAGCTATCAGTCATGTTGCGTTCACTGGCCATGTTAACTGTACATCGCAGTTTGGGGATTTTCATTGTCCCTGGTGAGGAAAGTGCTGACGTTGACAAGAGCTCAGTACCTCCACACAGAACAGGCTCATGAATCAAAGGGCCAGTGTGGTGAGGGCTGCTAGTCGAGCTTAACTGTATCAGAAGGGAGGAAAATGGAAGCCAGGTGCCTTTGACTGCAGATGCTTTTTTTTCCTTTTTTTTGTCTGAGCATGCTTGCTGGCGTGTGTTTTATTCACCTCGGGTAATTTCACACGTGTGTGCCTGCTCGCTCAGTGCCCCATCGCATGCAATAGATCCTACACGGGCTTTGTTCAGAGGAATAGCGTTAAACATTACTGAGTGGAGCTGTGCCCTGCCAAATTTATTCAGGTTTAGATGGCTGATGTTCATCTATCTGTGCTGTGTTGTGAGTGACTTGGTTTAAACTGGGGAAACAGCAAAACATGTTAATGAAAGCAGCAAAAGATAAGCTTTATGTGATTTGTGGTGCAGTTCTATTGGAAAGCATTGAAGACTGAAAGACTGCAGTTTAGGCGTCTTGTTTTTAACATACCACCATCTGTAACCTTGTTACCCTGTTTAACCTCAGCTTCCCTGGATCGGTTAATGCTGTAGAGCTGGTTTTAAATGTTGCTGAGGCAGTGCATATTGCAGTGATGGCTATCATCCATGCAGTAATTTCCTGATATGCTATTAGAGCGGCATTTCATGACAGCTAAAGAAGTGTGAAGATGAAGCCAGTCTGTAAAGAGATGAAACAAGCATTGACTTATTCTGCTTCTAAAGCCAATTGTGATATATTTGTAAAATATAGAGAAACTCACACATTTCCAAAAATAGCTATATTCTGTTCAGTGGTTCAATACACAGACCTGATCCATCCTTCAATAAATACGTAGCTCCAAAAGTCTGATTATCTGGTAAACACTATGCATGTGCTGCAGCAGAGTAAATAAACAGATTACTGCTGTATATCTGGGATTTCAAGCATTAGTATTGGTCAGTAATATGTGTCCTTGAATAATTCCTGACTAAAGCAGCCAACGTTCTCTGTTTGAAAACAGATATATGCAAAATTCATATACAGTAAAATGTAAGGGATGCATAATTGTCACAGATTTAATCAAGAGAAGAGCAGATATGAAATTCCCTCAGGCTGACACACGATATTATCGTAATGCTTATCCATATCAATGAACACACCAGCTTTATGCTTGTGATATTATCCGAAACTTCACTAATCTATCTTTGTTTCTATCACTGTTTGAATGAATTAGTTGCACAGTACTAGATGTTATTGCACTTTTATCTGAACATGCCCTCCTATTCTCATTTCAACCAATGTAGGCTAGCTTGTACATTGAACTTAGATGTTTTTGTTTGCACCACTGATATTGTCGTGTGTGTCCTCCTGTGGTAGAAAGCATTTGTAGGTTAAGCTAGTTTGTCTGATAAGCCCTGTAGCAGGGAGGGGTAGGTGTGGATCACACCGTGGCTCGTGTGTAACATCTGCTCGTGAAGGCTCTTAAAGGGAGAGTCCATTAATGACAAACCAGCTGAATTGGGTTTAACTGTGTATAAATGTGTAGCCCTGGACTCTCCATTTCTGATGATAGCGCGCTGGTAGTGTGGCGTTGTCAGTGGATGTTCTTGTAGTGCCACACCTCCAACAATGGAAAGGAATTGATGGGAATGAATTGTAATGCAAAGGTTGAGCTTGATTCTCATTGGCTGCTGAAGATGGTAAATGTTCGTCAAAGAGCTCAACTCAAACGTTTGGTTAACGTCAGATCCTGCGTATGTGTAATTGCAGGTCGTACTGCGCAGCTCAGCTGCTCTGAATGTGTGAGTACAGCGTTGTGTGGGTGTCACAGCTGGCTGTTAAATAGCTGTCTGAGCATTTAGTCCCATTCAAAGCTTCTCATCCTCAGGCAGTCGCAATTTGTCCCCATCGTCCCCTGTCAGCATGACAGAATGTATTTCACTTATCTCCTGCCCATACTGGAAGTCAGCTCCTCTCACCTTAACCGCAGATATAGTCGCCTTTCCTTTCCTTTCCTTTCCTTTCCTTTCCCTTTCTTTCCTCTTACTCTCGAGTGAGCCACAACTCATCTACCGCCTCCACTGTGAGTGATTCCCTCAGCTCAGCCACTCATTTGTCACTATCCATCAGTCCTCCTCCCTCCCTGTTTTTCCCTGTTCTCCGCTCGAGGCATGGCCTGTCGGAATTGCTGACAGAAGCACAAAGGGTGTGTTGCCTCCTGTGGAATTTACCATCCATCTGCTTCCTCCTTATTCCTTCAGCAAGGTCTCCTTGAGCCCCTTTCTCTTTCTCCTTCTGTGGCTGTGCTTGCCTGGTCAGTTTGTATCCCTGTTCCAGGAGGATGTAAAGAGATTTGACCCTCTGCCAGGTTATTTGATGTCACATTATTTAGCGTAGATGATGACGCAGTTCAGTTACATCTTACGTACTGCTGACTTTGCCTGGAAGTGGGGGATGTGTGCTCCAGTAGCTATTTTAAACAGACACCACAGAGAGGCAGGAGCTTTGCTGCTGTCCGTCCTTGTACTTGGCCAGGGATTTTCCTTTTCTGAGCCATACCTGCTGGAGAGACGTATGAAAAATTCTGGCTCTATTGTTTTTTTCTGTTGTGATGACTTTGCTGCTGTAAAAGCCACTGAAT